TGATAGACTGCGACGGTTGGAGTTAAAAACCATCAAATGTGTTCTACTGAAGAAACAAAGTCACCTACATCTTGGATGCCCTGGGGGTAAGCAGATAAACATCAAATTTTCATTTTTGGGTGAACTATCCCTTTAAGACTAACATATTGATACTAACACCCAAAAAACTTTAATTTTGATTTCATGGGGACTTTAAGAACATACAGTTCTTGAAAGTTCTGAAAAATCACAAAATGAATCATGGTTAATTGATTTAATAAATCAATACTTGTAGTTTATGTTAATAAATAACAAGTTTGAAAACAAGCAGCTTTGTCATAATTATAGAAGCAATACTGGAAATAAATTAGACTGTCTGAGGGCAGCCTTTGAATATTGTGTTGGACAACAGAGGGCCTTTGAGTAAAAACATTGAGAAACACTGATATTGCCTGAATGAACTCACTCGCTTACTAAACTGCAAGTTAGCATAACATTATCAACTTAAGGGTAGACTATGTGATTCCTAATTAGAAATAGGAGAAAATATGTTTAAGATGAATTTCTTCTTAATTACAAAATGTGTTTATCTACAGTATGACATTTTCATAAGCAAAGCTAATTAAACATTTGACCATTTTATGACCATTTTGCCTTAGCTTAGCAAGCTATCTGTTAGTCCTATTAGCTTATTGGTCAGCAAAGCTTAATGGTTAAGAAAAGCTCATGAGCTGGAACAAAATATCACAATAATGTGCTAAGGTTTTTAACAGACCTAGCAAAAGTCGGATAGGAGGCTGCAGGGGGGTCTTGCATGACAAGGGCATGTTAGAAAAACAGAGTTAGAAAAATATCTAAAATTGCTTACAGCACCTTTAATTTCCTCTGTATTTCTAATAAAACCAAAATCCACTCAGTGAGGCTTTATTAAGCCCAGCCTGAGTGTCAGGAAATGAGAGCATTGTTTTTTGTGAAATCCATGCAGGGAAGCTAAGCTCGGCTAATGTGCCTGAGTCAGTGGGAGGCTAATAAAGGCTTCAGACAAACACCTTGAATAATCTCTCTCTAGCACTCACTTTTTCCATTCTGTCGTTCTCTTTATGACAGCTTCCTCTATGGTGTTCAAACAGCTGCATTAAAATGGATGAAAAGTAGTTAAAATTAGCATACTATGAGGCTAGTGCGTTTGTCAAAAGGGATAACATTGCTTATGGGGACACTTTTTGCATAAACAAACACTGTGATCAGACAAACACAGTAAAACATTATCTTGCACAGACACACAAGCCTTATCTCCAGACCACAATACCACAAGTGTAACATCTTGATAAGCATGAACATTACATTAGGCTGGGCGATAAACTATATCATATAGAGATTGTGATAAAACTGGTCTATCGATGATAAGCTATTAACATTTTTACTCGATATGGATTCATCGAAACAGCATTAAACACACAACAGAAATAAGCAAGACAACTGCAAAGTTGTCAGTGCATGTCAGCCTGTCTGCGTGTGTGTGATTGATTGGTGTAGTTTCATCCTTACACAAACTGTAAATTAACTGTTATATTTTCATTTGATTACATTTTAAAAGGTTGATTAAACTGTTAAAGTTTAATTACTTTGTTTCATTAGACACCATTTTTGATGATAAGTTTGTATTAAACCATAAAAAAAAAAAGAAAAACACAGAATTTAGGAAAAAATATAATTGATTTCATGGGGCCCTAAACTAAAAGTTGGCCTACTCTATGGAGTTTAATTGTGACCAAACAGGTTATTTTTCCCTTAATTCTCAAGGTCTAACAAACATGTGGAAACATTTCCTTCCGCATTAATGATAAATGAGTATCAAAATAAATATTGATAGTGTGATAACAATTTTAGCCATATCGCCTAGCCCTACACCACATGGTCCTATAAAAAAAGTATTTCCCACGAGTGAGGAAAGCTAATTATGAATACAACAGTGACTCTACTATAAACAAAAAGCTTTTTACAGTTGTGTTTACCGGTTTGTGGGCCTATTAACTTTGTGTGAACGAAGAGGGTTTTTATGGCCTCTCCTGCTGTTTTGCAAGCAGTTTTAGAGAATAACACAAGAATGGGGGGTAGGAAGATGTTCAGTCAGAATGAGAAACTAAATATTTTCTTCTCCATTCGTGAAAGGTTTGCTTCACTCACACAAATACAGCTCACCTGCTTATGTGAACATGAAAATGAGCTGTTCGTGCATTTCCTCAAAAACCCTTGAGTTCCCCTGCGCTCAAACCCACAGCGTTTTGAAGATCTTCTTTATTGAAATATGATCATTTGCATGTAATTTAATAGAACCTCAATGCTAAAGGAGCAGTATGAGTCTCTATCAAAGGACATATAGGGAACTGGTTTGCTATAGTAACGCAAAAGGCCAAAAATGGTACAAATTAGCTGTACTTCTCACACTCGTTTGATCAAATCATCCTGCTGAGAGCACACGCAAAAGTATGCAACCTCATGGACGCCATTTCTTTTTTTACATCAAAAGTTATAAGAAAGCCAACAGTAGCCAATGCTCCATTCTCACCCAGGCCCCTCCCTGCAGAACTAACATGCCTCTTGTCCAGAATGGTACAGCCATCTGTTGTTTGTTAGGAGGTAGAGAGTTTGTGTGAATGAGTATGACGGTATTTGCTTGTGTGATGAGGAAAAGAAAGGGGACAAAAGCAAATGGAGGAGGGAGGTATGAGTAGAATATGTAAATGTACACATTAATGGTTTTCTCTGTGACTGGCACTAGGAGAAATACTGCGATTGAGCACTGGCAGCAGCTTAAAAAGTGTTTTGCATGAGGAAAAGAGTGTTGATTAATGAAATAACAGACTGTTCTATGGGGGGGGGGGGGGGGGGGATGCTATCTCACAACACAAACACAGCTCCAGCTGTCCAGCAGTTTTTGAGTGTATAACCTAGACCAGTGGTTCTCAAACCTGTCCTGGAGTACCCCCCAGCCCTGCACATTTTTTATGTCTCCCTCATTTATCACACCTGATTCAACTCATCAGCTCATTAGTGGAGACTGCAAGACCTGAAGTGGGTGTGTCAGATATAGGGAGGCATACAAAATGTGCAGTGCTGGGGTACTTCATGGAGAGGTTTGAAAACCACTGACCTAGACAATAGTGTCATCATCAACAGAGATACATTAAGATCATAAATTGTAATCACACACATTTGTTTTGAGAACATCTGTGTGACTAATACACTATGCTTGTTAACCCAATGACACTACAGCCTCACACAGGCGAGTCTGAATCCAGGTGTGTGTGATGTCTGGCTCGTAAGGACAAGACGTGTTTCAGTGTCATAAACTTGTAATGACACAGACTTGTCTTTGCCCTCAAGCAGTAGGTCAAGATTTAAAACTGTTGTTAGAAGGCTTAAAGCTGCACTCTAGGGCTGTACGATAAATCGCATGCGATATTTAACGCGCATCTTATCAGTAAAGCCGGTTCTGTACTCCATATGTTTTTGTGTAGACCTACATTTAGCTGTTATTCATCGCAAACAGCATTTTTATTGTTATATACATATTGCCATTAGTAGTAGTAGTAGTCACGGTAACTGCACTTTCAAAATCTCTTTGGAAGTTCATATTTATGAGTTGGAAAGTCATAATAATTACAAAATCATGTGAGTTCAAATCACCTTGGTCAGAGAAAGATAGCGATGTAGGCTACCTTTTCTACATACAAATACATCAAGGTTTTTAACTGTACTTCTACAAAATGATAAATACAGAATGTGCATCAGATGTGTTTTTGCATTTTTTTATGTTTATATTCAATTTATGCAGGTGCTATTAACTGAATTCTTATATATTCAACAATTCATCACCGTTCATCTCATAAATACCGAGATTTATCTTTCCGAGATGAACCATATCTACAGAAATTTCATAACACAGTCAACATGACGGCACCCATAAGAGGGCAACCCGCTCCATGTCAATAAAATCAGATTTTTCCAGAAGACTGACAAACCTCAAGTCTTCATATCATGTGATTCACATCACTGTAATGCTATTTCTGAAAAGTGTTGTTAATTTCTTTGAATTTAAACACTTCTAATTAGCCAAAAAAAATACTGGCTGCACCTTTAAGAGTGAACTTATGTGTAGTGCCCTCAAATCAATCAATGTGCTCCAGTGTTTACTTGATTTAATGTCCCCCATAAAGGAACATTAATCTCCTGCTAGGCTTTCTAAACCAACATTAACCGCAAACCAAACCCCACTCATCTGACCAGAGCTTTTGAGACCCAGCTGCCTCATGTTTGTCAAAGTGTGAAAAAAAACAAAAAACAAGGACAACAAGTTAGAGCATGCTGCTGGGTCAATCAACTCAGCCACCATTACATCCATGTTAAACATGTAAATAGATTTAGAAACAATTGACATCTCACATTCAAACCATGCTCATACAGAATTCATTACAACTAGGTACACCACATTATCCACATATACAATAATCTTGAATATTTGGCTACATGTTTGCAATTCATACATGGTATGTAGCCAAAATGACAGCTTTACGAGGTTTTAAGGAATACACAGAATCGTATAAGAAACCTTTTCAACATCTAACACACTGAGAAAACTTTAAATATCCTTGATCAATTTACTATCACTGTCAATGTTTAAGTGCTGACAACTTAGTCACTGGACCACATCAAACACTACTTAATATTCCAGTATGTACTACACATACTTCCATAGAATTATAACTTGGGTTAGGTACAGGCATCCAGTCATGGAAACGTCTCGACATAGATGAGAAAAAAATCGAGCATCACCAGATTATTAACGTGCAGCCAACGCGTCAATGTATCATCTCAAATACAACCATTCATCAAAAATTACACAAAACTGCAACAAGTTCATGTAATGAATTAAAAGGGCATCTTATTAATCAGCTCTGGGGGGTAATTAAACAGGGGTGTCACAAAATGATGAAATATGTAGTAAAAACATAACTTACCCAAAACCGCAAAGGCTATAATAAGCCATTTGATATCCATTGTTCTACTGTTTCAGCACTGCCGATTAAGTCCAGATATTGCAGGAACAAAAATGCAAATGTGGTTAGAAATTCCTAATCGTCACTCGGACCTTCCAGAAATCAGTCCGGGTGGAGTTATGAATGCGCCTGTTCGGACCGCGTGAAAGTGCGTATACCTACTCCACAACGATTAAATCTCTCCCGAGTCAAATGCGTCTTGCGCGGTTAAAAGACGGATATCCAGCCTCCGAACAACAGCCGTGTTTGTTAAGAGACGCTTGTGCAATTGAAAGAAAGCCTTTGGATGGTTGCCTCCGATAAATTACATCCGCCGTTCACGAATGAATCCGATATAGTGAGTTGAACGCTGGGATGGATCTGAGCTGTCTCGTGCCGCTCTCCAGTTCCCAGCGCGAGCAGCCCACGCGTGGAGGAGGAGGAGGAGGAGTGAGACCAGCTCGTCCAGTTCGTGTCAAATAACCGGCTTACTGTGGTCGTGGATAAACTTGTGGTAGCTTTGTCAGACGGATATGAGCAGATGTGGTGCCCTGTCCGTTCTCCGTGAAGAGCAATACGGTGATGCTGGCGCTGCCGTGATCACCTCAGCTCTTCTCTATTGTCACAAAGAGGCGGCCCAGCCCATCTCTTACTTTCAATCATGGGCTGGTGCCTGAGGAGGATAGCAGATGGGGGAATCCTACCAGAGACCACTATAGTTGTATCCCGGTCAAAAAAATCTGCTTTAGTCAGTTTTGGATGGCTAAATCACTTTTGTTATCAGTATTATGTTGCCTAGATTCAGTTGTCACTAGCGACGACGCAGTTTATCAGCTATTAGAAGCGCAAACGCCGTTTACTTTGATAGAATTCGAGACGATGCTTATCATTGGGTATTGCAATTTAAGTGTGCGTTTTCGTTTTAACGATATCCTACTCAAGTTCATTTACAGTCTGTTTGACAACATCCTCGAATAACCTTTTAAACAGCGCATGTTACGTAGCGTGTTGTACGAAATTACACGCTTCATTTATCGCCACTGGTTTAAAAGTCAGAGAGCAGCGAGCTCTGTAAACTGCTGTGACACGTGTTGTTGATGTTATTATGTTGTTTACATACGCCGCCGCAGGTGAAAGTTCTAATTATGGGAATTTGACATTTTATTTCCTGCTGTCGTGCGTTTGCACTTTCAAACTATCACTCCTCCCACCTACCGGTAGCCTACATAACTCCGCCCTCTTGGCGTAATGCCATACTAAACCACCAGGTAACAGCTGCCCCCTAGTTTTGAAACCAGTCCCTAAAGAATAAAAAGTATTATGGGGACGTTTATGTTTGTTCACATTCTGTTTAATGTTTCAGATTTCTATTACAAATAAATGCTGTTCTTTTGAATTTTCTATTTATCAAAGAATCCTGCAAAAACAAAACAAAAACGTTGAAACATAATGTTTTCAATGCTGATATAGCCTAAAAATAAGGGATGTTTCTTAAGCAGCAAATCAACATATTAGAATGATTTCTGAAGGATCATGTGACACTGAAGACTGGAGTAATGGTTGCTGAAAATTCAGCTTTGATACACAGGAACAAATTGCATATATATAGCTATTAAAATAAATAACAAAATATATTCAAATAAACTAATTATTTTAAATTGCAATAATGTCACAAAATACTATTTTTACTATTACTATACTGTATTTTGATTAAATAAATGCAACCTTAGTGAGCAAAAGACACTTATTTTAAAAACATTTTTAAAAATTCTCACCCCTGACTTTTGAACGATAGTGTATCTGCTACAAATTCGTTGAGAACTCTCCTATTGTCACTAAAATGTGTAAATTGATGTAAAGTATGCAAAATACTTATATGAAATATATAAATATTTATGTAAAATATTAAACTACCTTAGTACCAGACTGAATTGTACCACCAGCTGAAAACATGGGCATATTCAGATTTGTGCATACATTTATTGTATTTCTTAGCCACCTACATTTTAAGTAAAACTGTAAAAGCAAGTAAAATGTAAAACTACATTGATATGGATGTACATTGGAAAATTATAACCCTCCTCATCTGATAAGCTGTAATATAAAAATAAAAAAATAACAAATAAATGAAAATGAGGAAGTTTTATATTAAATTACCTGTTGATTCAGCTAATATCAGTTGTGTCATTCATTCTATTGACATGAATCAAATTATAAGCCAGATGTGAAATGAAATTTCATGTAGCCAAATTTTTTCTTCTCACCTTGTTTTTTACCTGTAACTGTGTTATTTTATAATATTGGAGGGTGGTGCTCATGTATAATTTCACTCCTGTCCTGCTGATGTATAATTGGTTAAACTGATGGTTTTACAACTCACCCCAGTCTCTCGTGTAAAGTTACTTTCTTGATATGTAAGTCAGAGTCAGAGACTGATCTCATGCATGATAAAGGTTGGGGTCTGATCATCAGTGTGTGGATGTGGATGTGGAGGATGTGCTCCGGCCCATGAGGATAATCACTCCATTGTTATTGCTGCATATACAGTACAATACTGGTCTGTTTTTAATTGGGAGTTGTTATACCATCACAGTGCATGGAACAAAAAACATATTTGAGTCAATGTAAGGAAAGATGATCTAATGAGGGAAAAAGGCGTGTGAAATATCATCATATTGTTCACTGTAATGAACCACTCGGTTGTTCTGTGTTGTTTTTGTTAGTGAATACTGTGGGCATAATATTTTGCTCTGACATTTAGACAGTTTATCCCCATTATTAAAAATAGTTTTAATCTTACTTTATTATTTTTCCACTTTTTGGAACAGAACATTGGTTTAGAAGCACAAATAATCAGGAAGTTTGAACGACTTAATTCCATCACTGTTAGGAAGCTGAGTGAAGCGGTTCCCCGCGGATTTCACTAGTCCTGCTCCAGGCGCCACCATCATGCCCCCAAGCAAGGCACTTAACGTCTGCATCCGCCAAGATGAGGCTTTACAAAATCAATTCAAACCTAATCATACTTAAAGGTCAAAGATAAGATTGCTGTCAGTCATTTGTTATACAAAGAGAGATGGCTAAGCGTTTTATAATAGAGTAAGTGATAAAAATGATAAACTTGCCAATGCTTCATTACAGTTATCTGACTGTTTCATTATGAACAGCTTGTCCAGAACCTTTTTAATATACATAAAAATGTTTGTGTGTAATTTTTTGTTAATGTTGTGTAGGATAGGTCAATATGGCAGTACAGCTCAAAAACTGAAAACTAACATTTTAAAATTAGAAATATAATCTGATAAAAATGTAATTGTAAATTGTGCCTCTTTTGCTCTTTAATTTTATCATTTCTATAAATGCAATACTGAGCATTGTAATGCCTCTGAAAAGCTGAATGGTGCTTTTAACTGCAAGGTGGAGTGATTATACACATTTTTTGGCATTGATGGTTCCATAATGAACCTTTAACATCCATAGAACCTTTCCATTTCACGAATAGGTTCTTTAAATTGGAAAATGTTCTTCAGTTAAAAAAAAATATTCTTTAGACTAGGAAAAATACAATGAAAGTTTCTTTGGGGAACCAAAAACGGTTCACAAAATGAACCATTTTGAAACCTTTATTTTTAAGAGAGTACCAGCCATAATTCCCATTCATATATCCAATTCAAATAAAATAGGTCCATCTCCTGTTATTTTTCTGTAGCATTTGGCTGGTCATGTGATCTCGACCCACATGAGGCAGTTCACTCCATGTAAAATAAAACTGCTTTTACTTGGGCACTGGAGTTTTAATAATATTTTTCACACAAAAAAACTAAGCCTTTAAATGGTATCTGCTATTTTTATTTTAGTTGTTATCTGAATGTTTAACAGCTGTGTACATATTTGTTCAATTCTGCATATTTGTTCAATTCGGCACAGCATCACCAGTGCTAGGCCTATTAAACCAGAAACCTACAGAATCTTTTCAATGACAGATTGCACCTTGAGGCACCTTCAGATACCTTGTATACCTTTCTTATGAAAGCAGATCATCTGCTTAAATTCATTCCCAAACCTCATGTAAAACGCACAAGTGAGGCATCTGCTTAATAGTTTTGAGTCCCATAATGAGAAAAAGGAAAAAAGGTTTCATGGTCAGTTTTTAAAGCTTTATGACGACTTCAAGTAGCAACTTAACACTGTGTTGTTGCCTCAAGGAGATGGATTTGCTTAGGCTTTTCATCTGACATTTGCATATTTTGCAGCGCATTCAAAAAGTAAATAAATAATTCATTTCCTCCATTTGCCGTGTCTCTGTGGCTCTTTTGGAGCTCATAAGAGATACTGAGCTAAAATGTGAGAGCAGTTTTTCTCTTCCCCTTCATCTCTTCCAGTGTGTACAAACACACACACACACACACACACACGTATGCAAAGAAAAACACACACATTAATAGTGTTAAACAAAACACATGTGAATACAAAATTGCTTACTATCTAGTGACTACAACCAGGTAGAATAAGTTGAAGAATTAAAGATGTCTACAAGCAAAACCACTTCTCAACTAGGGTGCAATTTTACATTAGACACCAACTACTAAAATAACCTGCAAATCAAACATTGGGATTAAAGGAACGTTTCTCCCTAAAATAAAAATTTGTTGAAATTTACTCCCTCAGGCCATCCAAGATGTAGATGAATTTGTTTCTTCATCAGATTTAGAGAAATTTAGCATTACATCAATTACTCACCAATGTATCCTCTGCAGTGAATGGGTGCCGTCAGAGTCCATTAAAACATCATAATAATGACATAATAATGACTCCAGTCCATCAATCAACATCTTGTGAAACGAAAAGCATGTTTGTAATAAACAAATCCATCATCTGTGTGTTACACAAAATACATTGTGGTCAGTACAAACCATCCTGGTCCTTGCTGCAAGTAATTGTTTTTTACATGTTTAATGTAGTTTAGGTTTTCAAGGATGAGTGAATGTCATGCTGGCACCTGCTTAATTTGGCATGCATATTTATGTTTATTTATTATTTTATTCATACTATTAGATTAATAATCTATTTCCTTATATGGTTGAATTGTATTATTTAAATGTGTTTGCTGTTTTTGAACCCACCAGTTGAAAACCACTAGTCTAAGAACATGATACTAGTGTGAAAACAAGGAAACCAAACTAAGCAATTTGTGAGTCAAAGGAAAAATATTCCATGAAAATTGTGCAAATTCAACATTTCTTTGAGTTGATGTTTAGCACAAAAACGCTTGTATTTTGAAGCATCAGTAATGAAGTGCCTGATGCATACCCAAAATAACACTGGGGAGTAGCGTTGAGAGCTGAACTGAAATAGTAAACCATCATCATCATCATCACAGTAATTAAAGTGCAAGGGGCTGTAATGTGCTGCATTGGTTGGATGCTCTCTTTATAGCAGATTGCATCAAAAACAAATTTGGGACAATAATTACGTCTGAAGCAGTCTTGTTTTCACAGTTGGGGTTGATAAATACCCCAAGTCATCCAAAGTGGTGTTGCTTTATTATTGCTGCTAATGACAGTAATTATTTTGCTATTTTATATGGGAGAGAATGAAATATTTTCATATTTTTGTATACAATACCAACCACCGTGGGTTGTTTTCACTCTCTCATATAGTATATGCCTAATATGACAACAGCTATGAGCAGCACAAACATGTGGTCTGGATGGAAGTACCAATTCCAGACCAATTGAGAAACGTTAAGAAGCAAGACATGTGGAGTCTATTGGAGAGAGGAAGAGATGGAATACAAAAGAATTACTGAATATTTCATTATATTGTGTTAACTTTACTCATGTCTTATGCGGAGACTATTTGAATAAAACATGACATCCAGTGCAAAAAGGGCTTTGGTGAGGGAATAACTCTTCAGAGATGAAAAGCTCGTATTAATGAGCTGTAAGAATGAGAAAACATGCTTTTTGTTATTTTTTTCCTCTCCTCTGCCTCCTTTTCTAATATGAGCAGTGCCGACAACAGAATGGCAAGGTCAATAGGACCTGACAGTGTAATATCTCTTATAACCAAAATTAGAGTTTAATGAAACAGGATATGAGAACATTCTGACATGACAATGGGATTGTCATTGGAGAGGCCATTCTTCCTCATCTCCGGCCTGGATGGAGGCTTTCACACAAACTGTCCAGGCTGTATGATGGGTGAAGATACAACCTGGAGAGCGAGAAATCACTCTTTATCACAACTCCTGAAGTAGCTGATGTGTAAATGGA